TATAAAATAACTACTTAAAACTAGACAAGATAAGAGTGGTTAACTTGTATTGAAATCTTTATTTAATCTTAATACTAATGTGTGGTAGTCAAGATGGAGGTTGATAATAATAATCTTGAAGTTACACATAATTTATTTATTTATTTATTTAGTAATTTTAGCATACATACAGAGGTACAAAAAAATACAGGTAAGAGCAGCATGCCAAAGCCACTTATATGCATAGCATTATGGGCTGGCTTAAAATTAACTTAAGATTAACTAAGCAATGACGAAATCAGTGATAAAACATTATTGTAAACAGATAACTATAAAGCACAAATGAGTATTACAAAGACAGGTCATATGGTTGCATGCATTGCTGTACATTCAGTCAAATGGAGTATTCTGTTAGGTAGTCTATTTAAAAAAATAACAAAGTTAGATTGGGTCCTAGGTTTAACATTTGTGTGATATAATTGTGAGTAACATATAGGATATACAATTTATAAGGTTCAGTTATTCAGTATTTATTTGGTTTTGAGTGAGTAAGTGATCTTTGAAAAGAGACTTGAATTTATAAACAGGTAGTGTTTCTTTTATATTTACAGGTAATGAATTCCAGATTTTAGGGCCTTTTATGTGCATTGAGTTTTTGCATAGTGTGAGATGGACACGAGGAACATCAAAGAGTGATCTGTGCCTTGTGTTATGGTCATGTGTTCTGTTGAGGTTGGCAAGGAGATGTTTGAGGGGAGGGTTAATATCAGAGTTAAGTGTTCGATGTATGTAATAGGTGCAGTAATAAGTATGGATGTTTTGTATGGTGAGTAGGTTTAGTGTATTGAATATTGGTGGAGTGTGCTGCCTGTAGTGAGAATTTGTTATCATTCTAACTGCAGCCTTTTGTTGGGTAATTAGTGGTCTGAGATGGTTAATTGTTGTTGACCCCCATGCACAAATTCCATAGGTGAGATAGGGGTAAATAAGAGAGTGATAAAGGGCCAGGAGGGCTGACTGTGGAACATAGTACCGTATCTTCGATAGTATGCCTACAGTCTTGGAAATTTTCTTAGAAATTTGTTGTACTGTATATGTGTATGAAATTTGAGTCTATTATCAAGGTGGATTCCTAAGAATTTTCCCTCTGTTAGCTTTGTGATAGGTGATCTGTTTATCGTTATGTTAAGAGGTACATCTGTAGCTCTGTTACCAAACTGAATGAAGTAGGTTTTGTCAATGTTTAGTGTAAGTTTGTTAGTCCTCATCCAGGTAGATATTTTCTGTAATTCGGTGTTTACAGTATTGGCTAGCGTGACTGGGTTCGGGTGAGAGAAGACGTATGTAGTGTCATCTGCAAAAAGTGTGGGTTTGAGTAATTGCGAAGCATTTGGTAGGTCATTTATGTATAGGAGAAAGAGAAGAGGGCCAAGGACACTTCCCTGTGGGACACCAACTGTAATTGGTTGAGCGGAAGAGCTTGCCCCATTTGCGTACACATATTGGCTTCTGTTGCTGAGGTATGACTTGAGGTAGTTGAGGGAGTGCCCTCTAATACCATAGTGTGACAATTTTACGCGGAGCAAGTCATGGTCAACTGTATCAAAAGCTTTACGTAAGTCAATGAAGATCCCCAGTGGGACTTCTTTTTTCTCTATTGCAGTGTATATATGTTCTAGCATGTGTATAATAGCATCATTAGTATTTTTATTGGGCCTGAATCCAAATTGGCAGGGGTTGAGAATGTTTTGGGAGATGAGGTAGGAGTAGATTCGTTTATGAATTAATTTTTCAAAGATTTTTGAGAGAGGGTGTAAATTGGATATTGGCCTATAGTTATTCAACTCTGTTTGGTCTCCTCCTTTATGGATCGGGGTGACCCTTGCTATTTTGAGAGCTGTAGGGAAGGTGGAGGATTCAATGGATTTGTTAAAGAGTGTTGCAATGATTGGTGATAGTACTTGACACTTTTTTGTATATAAAGGGTGGTAAGGTATTTAAATCTCCTGCCTTGTTTTTTAGTGCGTTGATAATAAGGGAGACTTCGTATGGGTTAGTCGGAGCTAGGAACAGTGTGTTCGGGTAGTTGCCAGTGAGGTAGTCATTTGGTGGGGTATCTGAGCTTGGGATTTTATTGGCAAGGTTTTGTCCTATAGTGGAGAAGAAATCATTGAGTCTGTTTGCTGTTTCTGTTGGTGGGAGTTGGGGTTCATCTGATTTTGCTAATTTTATTTCGCTATTTCGTGATATCTTTTTTGTTCCCAGAATTTCTGATAGGGTCTTCCAGGTCTTTTTTATATCACCTCGTAAGTTGGATAATCTGTTCTCATAATACAGTTTTTTTGCCCTTCTTATCAGGCTGGTTAGGATTGACGAGTAACGTTTTGTTTGGTCTCTGGTTATGTGACCCATTCTGTACTGTTTTTCATATCGGTGTTTTGTATTTATGGATTTGAGAATGCTGGGTGTTAGCCAGGGACTGTTCAGTCTCTTAGCTGTCATCTGTTTAGTTTTTTTAGGGCAGTGCTTGTTATAAAGGTATTGGGTCTTTTTTAGAAAATTATTAAAACATTCGTCAATATCTGTATAGATTTTTAGCTCAGTGTGCCAGTCAATGTTTGTTACTGCTGTTGCGAAGTTATTAATGGCTGCCTCATTGTGAAGTCTGAAGGTAACTTTAGTAGTGTCTTGGGGTATTTTACCAAGAGTTGTTATGAGGAAAGTAGGGTAGTGGTCTGTGGTATTATCTGTAATTATGCCTGATTTTAAAGGGGATATGGTGTTGGTCCAGATGTGGTCAAGTAGGGAAACACTAGTCTCCGTAACTCTTGTAGGTTTTGTTACTGTTGGTAGCAACATGCAGTTACTCATTGTGTTTGTGAATTCAGTAACGTGTGGGTCCTGGTCTTGCAGGAGATTTATATTGAAGTCACCTGAGAGTAGTATGTGATCTTTGTTCATGCGTGCATCAGTTATCATACTTCCTAGGTTTTGACTAAATTGGCTAATGTTTGATTGTGGAACTCTGTAGATGTTTATCACTGTGAGAGGTTTTTGTAGGTATTTGGATTTGAATTTAGCTATTATATATTCCCCATGTTCATCCCTTGTGCAAGTATTAGTGATACATTCTAGTTGGTCTGAGTAGTATATAGCTGTGCCACCCCCTTGTTGGTCTGACCTACAGTTGTGTATGGCTGTGTAACCAGGAATGGCATAGACATCTGTAGTATCAGGCTTTAGCCAGGTTTCTGTTAGTGTAATGATGGACATATTGGCATGCAAGGAATTTAGTAATGCTAGGAGGTCATCGTAATGCTTGCTTAAAGATCTGATATTGTAGTTAAAGATGGTTATGTTGTTGTTGGCTCTGAGAAGTGCCTTTGATTGTTCTGCTGTGTAGTAATTACAGTACCTGTTTGAATCATTTAAGTCATTAAATAAGAGGTTGGTATCAGGATCAATGCTTGTAATCATAAGATTTGTAGTGAATCTATAGTTAGAATTAAGTATAAAACAAAGTAAATATTCTAAAGCTAAAAAAATAGCACAATATTACAAATAATGGTTCAAATAGTAATATCTCATGGACTGGTCAACCAACATTATTTTTTTATTCCTTATTCTCTGCATTTTTTCACATTACACACTCATCTCAGACAAAATAATTCTTATAGATTTATAAAAATATCAAACACCATCACTGATATCATACTATGTAACACAGTAAATAAAAATGAAGTGGGAAAACTTTATCACATTGCTGACAAAATTATAAATGTTTGTATACCATGCAAATGGAAACTTTAAACTAATGTTTGGGTTTTAACTAGAATTTCTATTAGGATTTATGTCTCTGTATAAAAACATTCACATTTGAGAGGTGCATCTCTCTCAGTGTGTATATGCTGAGATTTAAAAATTACTTTTCAAGAAAATGCATTTGTTAGAGAGACTATTTGTCAGACTAACAACCAGAATATAAATGCATAATCAGGGCAGTGCCAGAATTTCTATACTAGAGAGGGGGTATCTTCAGGGTGGCTATCTGTTTGGAAAAGGGGGCGGGAGACTTGTTTTGAAGCAGCGTTATTAATATTACTGGAGTACTTTTATTTGAAGGGGACCGAGGGAGTTTTTTTTTTTTTTTTTTTGAGGGGGGGGAGGGTTTCAGCTACCCAAGGCCCCCCCCCATCCTTGGTGTTGCCACTGTATATAATATAGTTCATATTGATTAGCTAAACATGGATTATGTGAATCTTAGGTTTAATATAACTAAACTACTAAATATAAGAATAATAAATATAATGACTGCTCTGAGTAGCAAAAGTCTATTCAAAACACAAGGTTAATATGAAGGGACACTTAACATAGCACAACGCTGACACACACATTATTATTATTATGGGGAAGCGCTAAACCCGAGAGGATTATACAGTGCCTGTGCAGGGGGGGGGGATGGAAGGCATTCAGGATCAATTCAGAGAACTGGAGCACAGGTCCAATTTCCTAGATCAAGAGCCCTTCACCAACGTCAAGGAACCTCCCGTGAGGGATTGACAGAGATCAAATTTTCCAGAGGGGGTGGGGAGGGAAGTTTTTATTTAATATCTTTATTATGTACCCCATACCCATCCTGAGGGTGGCAGTCAAAAAATTAGAGGTACATAATGGGTCGAGGGACTGGGAAGGGAAGAGAAGTATGGTGGTAGTAGTAGTAGTAAACAGAGATGCATTCAAGTGGCTTTGGCATGCTGCATTTAACTATATTCTTTTATACTTCTCTGTATCATGTTCAAATAAATAAATAAATAAATAAATAAAAGAGTGCTGACTGAAATCTGAGTTGCCAGGTATATTTGGTATCCATATTTATTTGAACTTTGTACATTACATCAAGTTCAGGGGCTTTTCTTTACAATATATTTGAAGAAGTTGATAGACAGGGTGCCTTAATGTCACAGTGGCGGAGCAAACCAGTGAAAGAAAAAATATCCCTTTACAAAGCCTTGAAAACTCACCTGGACTTTGTTGTAAGCTTTTATCTTCTTTACTTCTAAGTAGGAAGAGCCACTGAATGAAGGAATCTCGTAGGGTGGTGGTAGCTCCTCCTCACAGTGTGCTCCTGTGGCCCTGGAGGTGCAGTGGCAGGAGTAGCTACCATCAGGTAACTCCCTACATGTGCCTCCTCTCTGGCATGGTTGACGACTACACGCTCCCACTACCTCTTCCCTGCCTGGAGTGTTGACTGCCACACAAGGTGGAGGACCACCATCAGTAAGTAGCAAGGTGTACACTCGTACATTATATCAGCTAATACATTATCCATTTACACCGTGACTGCAGTATTTCTTTAGTAAACAGCAAATTAGAACTGGCATTTTAATGAATTTATATATTACTAATGAAACTTATGAATGTAAATGGTACAAGTACACAGATAGTGCAGGTGCAGGAAAGCCATGCAGTGTAGCATCTTACCTGGGGAAGAGCTGGGGCAACTTACCTACGCACGTCTGACGGTCAGCACTCTGCGTGTATCCAACGCGGCAGGTACAGATGGAAGTCTTGCAGCGGGAGTAAGGCACAGAGCAGTCCTTGTCCCGATAACAGATGGAACCCAAGAGCCCGAAGGCAGCTATGGTGACAGGAGTGGGGGGAACACTGAAGATGCTGTTCGAGAGGCTGTGGGTGCTTGAGCCACTCACGCTGCCAATCACATACTCCGGCTGCAACAGGTGACGCGTTGCTTTCGCGGTCTCCGCTCGGTGCGGCTCAGTGGAGAGGGCAGCCGTGGAGCGACGCAGAGGAGACTCCGTCACACCGTCAGACTGGTTGCCTACGTCAGGTTGTTGGCACATGAGAGCAGTGCCACATGGGATATCAGCCCACATTTGAGTCAGCTGTCTTTATGGATATTTTTATTGCTAGGCGATGGTGCCACCTCAAAGACAATGACACCACCAAAACAAGTGCCAGGATGACACTAGCATCCTCAAGGCAGTGCAACCAACCACTGCAGAAAAAGACCATATTCTCCACGATAATTTCAGAAAACCTACAGTATAACCATCTCCAAAACTGTAACTAGTACTTCATAAGCATTGATACTGCAGGACTACCAATATAGTGCCACCATGTACAGGACATGTCACATCAAAAGTTACACTTCCGGTGAACTTGGGATGTGTATATGTATGAGTGTGTATTTACAATAAGCTGCCTTGTGGATCATTTAACAAAATAACTAGTGAAGGGTCGATCCTACATCTGCTGAAGGCAAGTCAGAAGACATGTTGCCTATGTGTATATAGTTAGGCAGCATCTGAAGAGACTGTACCACCAAGACCCAAGACAGTGCCATTATTTCTAAGGTTACTGTTACAGTGTTACAACATTTGACAGTGCCAGCAGCAACTTACAAACGATGACATTCTAAGTCTCGATACCATTACGAAAACTGGCATATCATTCATACTAGATTGATGCCACCGTCTGAAAGACGGCACCGTCAACTGCCAATAAACACCACTTTGACAAAGGCAGCTCCATCACAAGCCCCCTGTAGCAAATCATAGTTATGTTAGGGTGTGATAAATATTCGTTGTGAACGTTCCAAAATAGCTGATGTTAGTTGGATATACATACAGTAATACTTTTGTCTGTCATATTTAGTAATTATACAGTCACAGGTGTAGTGACTAGCTCACCTGTGTAATAATCAGTAAACCATCGTTAATATGACTATCTTGAAACATGTTCAGAATTATTACAACATAAATTAGTTACCTGAAATGTATTATGATAATTAAATTCACGCCTGCTGATGTCCGTTTGTTTCGATTTTCCCCATGTATTTTCTCTAGAATTTGTTTAGCCTAAAATAAATTGCATTATTTCATTATTCTCTATGTATATCTAGAGAGAGATTAGTGTTCTAGTGTCTCAGTTTATTGAAGTAAATAATATTAATATTTATAAGATATATTGTTTTAAGCCATTGTTAAGAATTTCAGATGTCGTTCTAGTGTTCTGGAAAGTTTAAATTCTGAAGGGAAGAGAGACTGAAGTAATGGTAAAGACAGGCAGGTGCCTCAGGCATACCTGGAGGGTGTTCCGAGGGTCAGCCCACCCCGGTCCATGACCAGGCTTCGCGGTGGATCAGGGTCTGATCAACCAGGCTGTTACTGCCAGCCGTACGCAATCCAACGTATGAACCACAGTTCAGCTAGTCAGGTACCGACTAGGTGTCTGTCTAGCTCCTTGAAGACAGCTAGAGGTCTACTGGTAATCTTCCTGCTCTTTTGAGCAAGATTTTCATTCAGAATATGCACTTCTGCTGCTAACAAGTTTAGCAGCAGCAAAGTATTCTGAGGAAATATCAGCTCTATGCTAAAGACCAGCTGTATTCCCTACGGGAGCCACAGTAATGGCGCTGCTCGAGTTGGTGTCACCCAGGGCGGACCGACCGACCCTTCGCCGCCACTGAGCCACAGCACTGTGTCAGAGGTTTACATGCCAGTATGGAGTCATAAGTATGTGAGAAACCGGCAAATACATCATGGTATTTGGAGACAGTACCAACCCTGGATGGAAATACTCATCCAGAAAGAGAACTGGTGTCAGCGGGAAACCAAGGAAACGAAGAGTCGGCTTTTGGGTATCAAAACGTTTGCCACGCAGTGGGCTTCTCAGTATTCATAGAAAGTGTAAGGATTACGTGATAACAGTAACAGAGTATTTCAGTAAATCTTATAAGAATTAGATAAGGTCTCGTTGGTTTTAACTAAGTGAAGCATCTCTGCCATCACTGTGTGGTTTGTCTTGGTTTAAATCTTCAAGATATTTTTTGTAAAAATATTGATCTGTGTGTTAAGATGAATATAAAGAACATGTAAAAATTTACTTATCATATTAATACTTTTTACGTTTGCACCAGCATAGTCCAATTTCAAGAGGGCAAGGCTAAGTAGAGGAGGATATTGAGGTTCTTAACCTTCTTTATATAGTCCCATTTGTAGAATAAATATTGCAGTGCTTTTTTTTTTTTATTTTAATTATTTCTTATGTGAGTAAGCATTAGCGGGGTCGTGGAAATGTGTAAGATTTAAAAATTAAACAAGTTAATATTTTTGGTTTAAAAATTTCCCGGCTGGGTTATTTGACTAGGATAACCCAGGAAAAGTCATATGGGGTCATATGATATTTCTATTCCCTCGTGGTCCTACAGGTTTTGTCCCGGAATGCGAAGGACAGGTGGATAAGGGAACAGGTACCCCAACTATGTTAGGTTAACACGTAGATCAGCGGGGCGTAAGGAAACATGACATTACTTACTGGTGACGGGAAATTGGAGCCTAGTGGACCATCCCCTAGTCGAAGGTAGGTCTTCGTCCAAAGGTTGACAAGTGTGAAGAATTCTTTGTAACAAGATCCCAGATGTGTGTGTCCTGACAGTTTGATGAATGGTTGAAAAACCGAACCTGTAAAATTTAGACACTTATCAGCATATGGGAATCTTTTTTCAGGAAACGTTTTTCCCCCGCGTGGCTTTATCATCCAATACAAAGAGGAAGGCAAGGAAGGGGAGAATGAGGTAATCAGCCCTCCAAACCGGGGGTCGATGTGTTCAGTCCATCAATCTTGTAAAAAGTACAGCATAGGGGCCCTAGACGTGGTATATACTGACTAACACATCGACCCAGGGGAGGGACTGATTACCCATTCCCTCTTCCTTCCCTCCCTTTGTTTTGGAGAGAAGCCCTGCGTGGGCGAAACTTTTTCCCAATAAAGATTCCCATAGCGATAAATGTCTCAATTTTCAACATGTCGGTTTTCAAACCAATTTTATACAACTGTCAGACACAGCAGAAAAAAAAAATGGGACTTTTACAAAAATTTTCAACACTTTTCAAACCTTTGGCAAGACCTCTTTGACAGTGGATGGTACCACATGCCCCCCCCCCAACTGCTTCCGTACCTCACTACAGTATATAAGCCCGTCTACGGCCCCCATGCTGACATTCACAAGATTTATGGCGAACCATCGATCCAGGGTTTAGGGACTGATTACCTCATTCTCCTCCCTTTTCCCTTCCCCCTTTTAGGATGAGAAAAACCACTGCGTGGCGAAAAATTTCCCCCAAAAAGATTTCCCCTTGCTGTTAAATGTCTCAATTTTCAACATGTCGGTTTTTCAAACCATTCATCACAATTAGACACAGCAGCATCATGGATCTTGTTACAAAGAATTCTTCAAAACTTGTTCAACCTTGGACGAAGACCACTTGACTAGTGGTGGGACCCTTGACCCCCCCCTCCAAATGCTTCACGTCACCTCACTCAGTATATAAGCCACGTCTACGGGCCCCATGGTCTTCTAAAGATTGATGGACTGAACACATCGCTCCAGGTTTAGGGCTGATTACCTCTTCTCCCCCCTCCTTTTCGCCTTCCTCTTGTATTGGGCGATAAGCCACTGCGTGGCGAAACGTTTTGAAAAAAGATTCCCCTATGCTGCATAAGGTTTTCCCAAATTTTTAACATGCGTTTTTTTAAACCCTTCATCACAACTGTCAGACACACAGCATCAGGGATCTTGTTACAAAGAATTCTTCAACATTGTTTAACCTTTGGACGAAGACCTACTTCGACTAGTGGTGGTTACCCTATACCCCCCTCCCAAAGCTTCACGTCACCTCACCAGTTAAAAAGCCCGTCTACGGCCCCATGCTTTCATTCTACAAATTGATGGCTGAACAATCGACCCAGGTTTGAGGGAGATTACCTCATTCTCCTCCTCTCCTTACGCCTTCTCTTGTTGGACTGATAAGCCACTGCGTGGCGAAATACTTCCTGAATAAAGATTCCATATGGCATAAGTGTCCAGTTTCAAAAGTCGGTTTTCAAACCATTCATCGAAACGAAGAGTCGTTTGGGTAACAAACTGTTTTGAAGCTGTAAATCTCGGTTGTTGCTATACAATAGTGTAAGGATTACCTGTGATAACAGTAACAGATTATAACAGTAAACCTATAATTGATATAGATAAGGTCTCTTAGTAACTAATGACATCTCTGCCATACTGTTGTTTGTTTTGTGAAATCTTCAAGACTATCTCGAGTATTGATCTCAGGTGTGTTAAGAGAATATAAATAACTATGTAATTTTTACTTACATATATATACTTTTTACGTTATTACAAATAGTAAATTTCTGAGTCACTTCTAGTCAGTATTTGAGTATATTCCAGATGGTTCTTAACTTCTTATATATATGTCCCATTGAAATAATATTGCAGTGACTTTTTTTTATTAAACTGTAAGATTTATAGATTATTTTCATTCATCGCTGAGTCATGTATATGGGGTTCGTGGAATAGTAAGATAAGATAAAATAAGTTAATATTTGTTTGGATTTATTCCCGGAGGGTTATTAACCTAGGATAACCCAGGAAAGTCAGTGCGTCATCAATGACTATTTCTATTTCCATTGTGGTCCTTCAGTCTTGTCCCCCGGAATGCGACCCACACTGGTCGACTAACACCCAGGTACCTACTTACTGTTAGGTTAACAGAGACAGCGGGTGATAAGGAAACATGCCCAATGTTTCTACTCGGCCCGGGATTGAACCACGGACACTCACCGTGTGAGGCGACACCATTACCTACCGAGCCAATGAGCAATAACGACATATGTACTCGAGAGTCCAACTGATATGATGCCTACTGTAAACTCACAGGCGATGCTATCCTAACCACCAACATTATCAGAAATCAAAATATTATAGCCAAATATTATATTTTACATAGCATATCTTAAATATTTAGGCCTTCCTGC